ACGTCGACATTGGCAATTGTCAAATCGGAGGGAGCGTGAGGAAAATAGACCTCGCTCTCAGATATCCGTTACGGTTTATCGACCCGCTTTTTCTGCAAAAAAAAACAAAGGGACAATTTAATTTCAAATTTCAAAACAAATTTTAAGACGCTCTCGTCTCTGAGCTTTGTCTCATGCTCACCTTACTTAATAAGTAGAGACAGCCCCTCGCTCTGAATTCAGAAACCCCAGGAAAACTCATAACCTCTGTAGCCCGTCTACATTCACATCACATTTTCAGGACTTGAATTATCTGATCTTCTCTGTCCTGCTCAAAGATAATCTCTTTACCAAATGGGTGCTTCAGGAAGATGGTTGAAATCCCTCATTTCTCATAAAAAGCCCTCCTCCAATGACCCTGTAAGTCCCTTAGCTACTTTCTTCATGTTCTGTCAGCTTGTTACTTCAGAGTGTGTTTTTATAACTGCTCTGCTTTTGGATTTGGATTTTAAAAGGAGAAGGTTGGGGATAAGAGTAAGAAGAAGTGGAGGCTGTGGAGAAGCTCTTCAGAAGGTTTTGGATTTGGGTCCTCCACGAAAAGCATCAAGAAGGAACGCGAAGCTGCTTCAGAGAAGTCTGATTCATCTACGTTTGCGGTGGATGATACGCTTGCTTCTGCCATGGCTACTGTGGCAGTCCGAGCTGCTCCTAAAGATTTCATGCTAATCAAGCAGGAATGGTCTGCCATTCGGATTCAATCTGTGTTTCGAGGTTTCTTAGTAAGTGGGATGTTTTACCATACTTTAGCCAGACTATGCTTGTTGCTCTGCTTTTCAATTCCTTTCCCTCAAACTTTTCAAGGATGAGTGTTTATAGTGTCTCACGTATGAACATTTTAGTAGCTGATCTAACTAAAGTTCCATTATAATTAAGACCTCTTAATCTTAACACAGTCTTCACCTGTAAAACTTGCTTCTTCTTTTTTTTTTAAATTTTGTGTGTGGCTGTTGTAGAAATAGTAATAATTGTAGTGTGCCATAGTTTTTTTTAATAAATACATTATTGTGATTGCAGAATCACGTCAGATAGATTCACTAAACACATTACTTGTTTCTTTCGTTTCATTTTCTTTTTTTTCCCCTCCAACTGCCATATGCCAGAAGCTAGTTATTCATTGGAAACCATTTATCACCATAGTTCAAATGATTGATGAATCACATCAAATAAATCACTAATGTTTTTCCATATCCTTGTTGGCTATAAACTTCTGCTAAACGTGTTCACAATACATGATGTAGGCTAGACGAGCTTTGAGGGCATTGAAGGCAGTGGTGAGGCTGCAAGCAATATTCAGAGGAAGGCGAGTGAGAAAGCAAGCAGCTATAACACTAAGGTGCATGCATGCTCTGGTTAAAGTTCAGGCACGTGTGAGGGCAATGAATGTAAGGATGTCTCCAGAAGGGAAGGCTGTTCAGAAATTATTAGATGATTATCGCAGGCAAGCTGAAGATCCTGTTAAGCAGGCTGAGGTATCATAATTTCAAGCTCTTCACAGTTTAGCAGATACTAAGGTCTAATTAACATGTAAAATTCTGACCCTGAAATTTCCAGGAAGGATGGTGTGACATTCCAGGAACTGTCGATGAAGTTAAAGCAAAGATACAAATGAAGCAAGAGGCGGTCATCAAAAGGGAGAGAGCAATGGCTTATTCTCTTTCTGCTCAGGTAAAGATCAGTCTCAGACTCAGGCGTAATCAAATCCTCAAGTAAAGAGACAACATTTGCAACAAAAATCTTAAACTTCGTTCTAATTTTCTTTAATTTGAACAGGCACGAGTGGGTGGAAGTCCAAAAGCAAGAGGCACAAAGACAGTGAACAAGAGCTTGTTAGAGCAATGGATGACAGTGAAGCCATGGGAAAGCAGGTTGATGGACGGTGGTAACTATTATGACTCAACTGACATTATCACTCCATTGTCCAGGAAAAGCAATGATCTTGTTCAAGAACAAGGGTTGATCAAAGCAAGAAGGAATGGTGTGACCGAAATTATTTCCAGTAGGTCTCTTACAACAAGCCAATCGACTCTGACATCATCATCATCATCTTCAACCTCGAGTTCTGAAAGCTGCACTTTTGATGATAGCCCTGAATCATCAACTTCATACACATCCATATCACATTGTGTACCATTTAGCAGCAATACTCTTGCGGAGGAAACGAGGGAGGAAAAGACTTTTCATAGACCTAGCTATATGAATCTGACAGAGTCAACTAGGGCCAAACAAAGAGTTTGTCGTTACTTGAATATGAGTGGAGATTGTAGGAGCATTTGTTCTGGTTCTGATCCTTGTGTTAATTTGTGGAAAGGTGTTTGTGCAACACCTGAAAGGTTTTCTTACCAACAGAGAAACTTTGCGAGACAACAAAGGTTGGCTTAGTCTCAACCTTCCATAGATTTTATTTCAACAGCTTGTTGGGAGATACAAATGTAGAGAATGACTCATGGATAATGTAGATTACAAGTGGTTTTTCTACGAAAATGAAATAGTGTATTTTTCTTTTGCTATCGAAATAGTATAATTTAAATTCATGAATTTAAGAATGATGATGAATGATGCATCTTTTATATTTTTTAATAAAATAAACTAAAGTTTGCATAACACTGGTTAACTTTAAATAAGAGAATTTGTTCAGGGCCAAAAAAAAAAAAACAAGAAAGAGAATTTGTAAAATATCAAGCGGGGAATGTTCATCCCCAAACGACAGCTTTTGGGGAAGAGCCACGCACCTCTTTTTTTTTTTCTTTTTTCTTTTTTTAATTTAAATTTTTTTGGTTTTTATTAGTTTTTCTTAGGATTAATATAATCTTTAGTCTTTTGAGTTTATTCTCATTTTAGTTTTGGTTTTTCAAGTTTCAAATTATAGGTTTTAATCCTTCAAGCGTTGAAATAATTCAGATTTTACCAGATTATAAGAACCAATGTTATAAATAAAAAGAAACCTAAAGAGATTAAAACCAAAATGAAGACAAATTTAAAGAATCAAGAACTATATTAATGCCTTATTTTATTACTCACTATTTTAAATTAATTAATTTTTAGCACATTAATATCCTGTAATATTCTTTTTAGTAGCATTTCTTCTATTTAATTAATACCACAGAAAATTTTTATTTATTTTAAAAATCTATATAAACATCCATTGGAGCCAGTTAAATTATACACTATAAAAGGAATCTTATATTTAGGACTGGATGAATACTATTGTCATTTTATTTTCACAAAATGTTTCTTATTAACAGAAATATTACCTAAAAGTCATCTAAACACTTTTATTTATAAAAAAAAAATTAATTTATATTTATAAATTTTTTATATTATTAAATTGATTAACCTTGACCATATTATAAAGTTAATTAATTTTATATTTCTAAATCATTATTACTGCAATGGTTTTTATTTTTGTTCATTTAAACTTACCTATTTATTAATCCTTTAAATATATATATTGACCAAAAAAAGACATCATTCAAGCACACTCACATGATTATTTAAACTTACTTCTTTATTAATCCTTTAAATATATATATGTTGACAAAAAAAAAAACATCATTGGAGCACACTCACATTATTATAAACAAATTTTTTATTTAGCACACTAATATCCTGTAATATTTTCTGGAAAAATGGCAAAAAGAAACTTTTAAAATAGAAAAATTACAAATAGGGACTTATGACAACATTAGTATAGGTTTTGACAACAACAGTTAGGTTTTGATAACAATTTTTGTAAACGGGTTTTTGTATGGAATTTTTCTATTTTGACCGTTTATTTTTGCCATTTTCCTTTTTTTTAAGTAGCATTTCTTCTGGTTAACTAATGCCACAGAAATTTTTTATTTATTTTAATAATTTATATAAACATCCATTGAAAAAAGTATTACATTGGTGCCAGTTAAATTGTACTTGACATTTTATTTTAACAAAAAAGTTTCTTGTTAACAGAAATATTACTTAAAAATCATCTGAACACTTCTATTTATCAAGAAAATTTAATTTATATTTACAAAATTTTATATTATTAAATTGATTAACCTTGACCATATTATAAAGTTAATTACTTTTTTATTTCTAAATTATTATTATTGCAATAATTTTTACTTTTGTTTATTTAAACTTATTTATTAATCCTTTAAATATACATATGTTGACAAAAAAGAAGACACCATTTAAGCACGCTCACATGATTATAAAATAAAATATTTTTTCTTGCTCTGCAACTTATTTTTTTGATAAAATTTTTGCAAAGATAAAGTAAGAATTTAGCATGGGGAGGGAAAAATTAGTAAATAAAATTTATTTTAATATGATTTTTAATTAAATGATATACTTTAGAATCTGTCTTGACAATGTTGATTGTTTAGATAAAAATGTTTATTTTTACAATAGAGAAAATATTTATATTATTCAGAGAAAAAATTGCAGTTCATTTATTGTTTTCACCTATGAGTGACTGGCAAATGAGAGCAATAAAGTACAAATCTTTTTTTGTTTGCCAGCCTATTAAGTACAAATCTATAATTTAACACTCTCAGATATTTAATATATAACCTATCTTATGATGTAAATTATATTGCAAAATAACGGAAAGTAGGAATTTTTTTTTTTTTTCATGGGTTTGTGTAGCGGGCCGGCCAAGTCTCAGCGTTCTTCGGGTGTTAATTTTGCATTCCAACGGCTACTTTTCCACCTCGGTCGAATTTTACCGTTCATAAGTGCAACCTTTTCAGTTCCGTCTATTCGGAGCACAGAGACAACTGATTCGGAAGCGAAGCTTCCAAAGCCTCCAAGAGAAGTAGAGGTATTCTTCTGCTGTCTCCTTAGGCTTTCTTCTTTTTTGTGTGTTTAGATTGTTGATGTTGTTCCGAAACAAAGCTTTTACCCAAGCATTTTATGTGGATGTCGTCTGGCTATTTGTTTTCCATGTCTTTTTCCGCAGTTAATTGTTGCCCGATGCCCGATGCCCGATGCCCGATTAGATGAACGCAGTTTCTTTACTTCCTAGGCCTAAGGTTTCCTCTCCTCTATGCTATGGAAGTTTTGTGTCCCTGTTTTTTTATGCTTAAATTATGTCATGCTTTGAACGCAAATTTCATTTATTAAGATATTTATGAAGTGAGATCTTCATACTCCAGTATCGAATAAGAAACGTATATCCGTCTTCTTCTTGAATTAATACTGATCTATCTTGTACAGATTGCTCTCCCCTCTTCCCGACGTGAGAATCTCGGAGGACTCTGTTGGAGAGAGCACTGATTGATTTTCAGAAAGGGCGTTCTCCAAGGAAGCGCGGAACCCGAATTGTGGGTCAGAGGTATTGTGTCTTTCCTTTTGCTTTCTTCTTTTATTGTGTTTAGATTGTCTCTTGCCGGTGCTCCTGGTCAGATCTCTTATCCAAAAGTTAGAGCCTGGTTTTTGAATGTCTTGCCATAAAGTATTCATTCATAATTGCTTCTCGATGGTTTATTTTCAATTATTTTTTGTGAGTTGGATGAAATCTTGTTTTGTCGCTAATATGCATATGGTGCGATACTCCAGGTTAATCAACTGGAAGATCTATGGCTTCTTGGATGGCATCTTCAACTCATTTAATTTCCTGATTTCTCACTCGGTTTAATTGTGTAGCTTTCCTGATGCCTGATTTGATGAACGCAGTTTCTTTACTAAATAGAATCCTTAGCCTATGAGTTCCCTTTATCTAATATGCAAAGTTCCGCCTCCTTGTATCTTGATGCTTCAGTCGGACTCATCTACGTTTTTGGATATGATTGTTAACTAGACGATCCTATGGCTCCTCCACTGGAATGAAATCTTCATTCTCATTTAATTTCCAGATTTGCTGTGCAATTTGATTGTGCGGCTTTCCTGATGCCTAATTTGATGAACACAGTTTTTTTCACTGAAGAGAACCCTCAGCTTATGACTTCCCTTCCTCTCATATGCAAAGTTTTGCATCCTTGTCTTTTTATGCTTTAGTCTGGTTCATCTACGTTTGTGGTGGATGATGCATTTGCTTGTGCCATGACTACTGTGGCGGTCCGAGCTGCTCCTAAATTAGATTTGAGGTTGATCAAGCAAGAACGGTCTGCTATTCGCATGCAATCTTTGTTATGATGTTTCTTAGTAAGTGGGATTTTCGCTGCTCGGCCAATTTTACCATGCTTCAGCCATGTTCTGCATGTCGCTCTGCTTTCCAAATCGTTTACCTGAAGATTTTAAAGGATTTGAGTGTTTATGAGCATCTCATTTATGAACTTTTTTACCATACTTTAAGCCATACTATGCTTGTCTTTCTGCTTTTCAAATCTTTCATCTCAAATTTTTTATAAGGGTTTTAGTAACTGATCCAACTTGTTACATTATACTTGAGGCCTCTTAATGTTAGCACAGTCTTCACCTGTAAAAATTGATCTTTCTGTGCCTTTTGTAGAAATCTTAATTACAGTGTGCTATTGTTTTATTAACTTGAGATAAATTATGCCGAATGTGTCCAGACCTATGTGCTGCTTTCTGACATGCTATTGGTAGGTGGCGGGTTATAACAAGAGGGTTTCAAGGAATCTTGATATGCATTTTGAGAGTAAATACTTTACATGGATTTACAGAGAGATAGAACAGAAAATAAAAGTGGGATACAAAAAAAGTGGTTGCAAATATATTTTGTTTCTTTTATTTCGCCAAATACATTATTTTTTACTGCAAAAAATCGCAATCTAGGTTTCGTATAGTGGCATGCTTATCAAGCCTCCGTTTTTCATGTGCTTGCATCTTTTCCACTGATCTCATTTCTCCTTTTTCCCCCCACTGCCATATGCCACCAATCACTTAGACATTGGAAACTAATTATCGCCATATTTGTTCCAATATTTAAAGAATCCCATTAAATAGAGTCACTAATGATTTTCTTATCCATGTTCATAATAAAATTGTGAACGTGTTCAAAATTTTTAAGGCAGTGGTGAGGCTACAAGCAATAGTCAGAGGGAGGGAAGTGATTCTACAAGCAGCCATAACACTAAGGGTGCATGGACGTGTGAGGGCACTGAGAGGATGTCTCCAAAAGGGAAGGCTATTCAGAAATTGTTGGATGATTATTGCAGACAAGCTGCTGATCCTGTTAAGCCAACTTTAGGTATCATCTTTTCTAGCTCTTCACAGTTTTAGCAGAATAGATACTAAGATGTTGAGATGTAAAATTTTGCACCTGCAATTTCCAGGAAGGATGGTGTACATGTGACATTCCAGGAACTGTGGGTGACGTTAAAACACAGATACAAATGAAGCATCAAGAGGGAGAGATCAATGGCTTATCAGGTAATTTATTTTGAGAGATTAGACAGGTGTACATGCAAAATTCTGTACCTGCAATTTCCAGGAAGGATGGTGTACATGTAACAATGGCTTATTCTGTCAGCTTAGGTAATTTATTTTAAATGATCAGACTGGTATACATGTGAAATTCTTTCATGTTGAGTGTTGCTAGACCTAATCATATTTGCAGCTTCCTAAAATGCTCTTGTTGGTGGAGGGTTATAACAACAACACTTATTACCCTCTTTCCTCAATGTTTTTAAGAGAGGGTTCCAAGGAATGTTGATCTGCATGTTGAGAGTAAATACTTAAATGGACAACAGAAAATAAAAGTGGATACAATAAATAGTGGCATAGACACATTTTGCTTCTTTTACTTTATTATTGCATAAGATCTCAATCTAGGTTTGGTATGCTTATCAAGCATATGTTTTTCACGTGCTTGCATCTTTTGCACTAATTTCGTGTTTCCCTTTTTCCCCACAGCCAAATGCATTAATCACTTATAAATTGGAAACTAATTATCACCATATTTGTTCCAATATCTGACAAATCCTATCAAATAGATTCACTAATGTTTTCCAACATTTGAGGATGCCTCGGTAGGGAAGGCTGTTCAGAAGTTATTAGATGACTATCACAAACAAGCTACTGATCCTGTTAAGCAAGCTGAGGTATCATCTTTTCAAGCTCCTTTGGAGTTTAGCAGATACTAAGATGATGTTGACATGTAAAATTCTGTACCTGCAATTTCCAGGAAGGAATATGTACCCGTGTGACGTTCTAGGAGCTGTGGATGAAGTTAAAGCAAAGATACAAATGAAGCAAGATGCAATCATCAAGAGATAGGGGGAGCACTGACTTATTCTCTCTCAGCTCAGGTAATTTGTTTTGAACGATTAAACTGGCACAATCAAATCCTCCAATAAAAAGATAAAATATAAAATGAAAATGTTTTTATTTTTATTTCAATAGTCACATGTGTAGAGCCATAAAGCCAGTGAGCATAATTATAGATTAAAGTTCATAATCTGTTTTGTCTCTAGTATGGTGTAAGAAACGTTTATTAATGCCCTTTATTTTCTTAGATTGATATTGGCCTATATTAACTCCGCCTGTATTGTATAGCCGGTCCCAAGCCCGGATAAAGGAAGAGGGTTGTGTTAGGCCCTCGACAGCCAATATAAAAACCTGTCAAATCTGATGAACATGGATCAACAAAGTAATTATGCCAATGCTAGGTCGTTGCTTAGAAGTGACGCGCTGTATGGCTCGAGTTAAAGAAGTTAGTTCATGAAACCAAGATTAGATTTGGCGCTTGGAATATTGGGATGCTGAATGAGAAATCTATGGAAGTAGTAGGAGTTATGAGGGACAGAAGGATTAATATCTTGTGCCTCCAAGAAACCAAATGGACTAGAGAAGTTGCCAAGGAACTTGGAGAGTATAAACCTTGGTACACAGGGAAGGTGAGTGTAAGGAATGGGGTTGGTATCATCGTTGATGGAACATGAAAAAAAAAAACGTGGTAGAAGTTAAAAGGTTTGATGATAGAATAATATCTTTTAAGAGTAATTATTGGAAAGAATTAGTGCCTATACACCTCAGCTTGGGGCAGAGACACACCTTAAAGATAAGTTCTAGAAAGATATGGAGGGGTTGGTTCAAAGCATACCACTCGAAGAAAAAAAATTTATCGGTGGACATGTCGGTAAGGAAGCAGGACAATTCAACAGGGCCTATGGTGGTTTTGGTTTTTGGGAGCTTAATAGTGGAGGACAATCTATTCTCGACTTTTCTCTTGTATACAATCTCAAGATTGTCAACACTTGTTCTAAGAAGCGAGAGGAGCATTTAATCACATACAAGAATGGTGCCTCAAAATCACAGATTGATTTCTTTTTGGTTAAGAATCTGGACAGCAGACTGTATACTAATTGCAAAGTGATTCCGGGAGATGGGGTGATTGCCCAACATAGAGTACTTATTCTTGATGTACGTTTTAAGAATACCAGACAAAAGTACCATCAAGTGGTAAAACCCAGGGTTAAGTGGTGGCAGTTAAAGGGTGAGAAGCAAGAGTTATTCAAAAGGATCCTTTTGGAGGAAGGGATTTGGGAGTCACAGGGAAATGCAAACATGATGTGGGAAAAGATAGCTACAAGGGTTCGTTTCGTAGCTAAAACAATTTTAGGAGAATCTAAAGCTCCTAGTCAGAGAGATAAGAGTGTGTAAGAGAAAGTCAAACAGAAAAGAGATTGTTTTAAGGCCATACATTTGTACAATAGTATAGAAAACCGAGAAAAGTATCAGTTGGCTAAAACAGATATGAAGAGAGCAGTAAACGAAACACGTACTAAAGCTTATGAGGGGTTTTATCAAGAGTTAGGAATAAAGACGGGAGAAAGAAATATTTACAAGATTACGAAGCAAAAGGAGGGGAAAAAACGAGATCTAGACCAAGTGTATAAAGGATGAAGATGGTAAAGTGCTAGTTACTGATGGTGATATTAAAGACAGATGAGAGGCTTACTTTTACAAGTTGTTTAATGAGGGAAGCAATTATGTGATTAAGGACTTACAGGACTTGCTAATTAACGAAGATGATCAGAATTTGGCTTTTTACCGCAGGATCCGTATCAGAGAGATTAAGGCAGCTCTCAAGAAAATGGACAATGGTAAAGCCGTTGGGCCTGATAGTATCCCTATTGAAGTTTGGAAATATTTGGGCAATGAGGGTGAGGTGTGGCTAATCAAGTTTTTTAATGAAATTTTACACTATAAAAATATGCCGGATGATTGGAGGAAAAGCATTTTAGTTCCTATTTACAAGAATAAAGGAGACATTCAAAATTGTGCAAGCTTCTGAGGAATAAACTTATGAGTCATACAATGAAGTTATAGGAAAAAGTGATGGAATATAGGTTGAGACTGGAGACTTTTATTTCAGAAAACCAATTTGGATTTATGCCAAGGAGATCCACATCAGAAGCAATTTATTTACTAAAGGGGTTAATGGAAAGATATAGGAGTAAAAGAAGAGATTTACATATGGTTTTTATTGATCTGAAAAAGGCTTATGATAGTCTGTCAAGAGAAGTAATGTGGAAGGTTTTGAAAAAGAAAGGTGTACGGGTTGCTTATATCAAAACCATACAAGATATGTATGAGGGGGTAACTACCAGTGTAAGGACGCCTGGAGGTGAAACAAAGAACTTTCCTATTAAGATTGGCCTATATCAGGAATCTTCTTTGAGTCTGTACTTGTTTAATATTATTTTGGATGCTCTAACTGAACCTATTCAAGAAAGAATCCCTAAGTCCATGCTCTTCGCAGATGACATAGTTCTCATGGCGGAATCAAAAGAAGAGATTAACACTAGATTGGAGTTATGGAGTTGGAGTCGAAAGGTTTCTGCTTGAGCAGGAACAAAACAGAATATATGCATTGTGATTTTGGAGGGAGTCAAGGCAATGGGGATTTGGAGGTGAAAATAGGGGATCAAATCATTTCTCAAGTATTAAAGTTTAAATACTTAGGATCCATTATGCATGAGGATGGAAAAATTGATGGAGACGTTTCTCATAGAATACAAATTGGCTGGTTAAAGTGGAGGAAAGCTACTGGAGTTATTTGTGATAAGAAGGTACCTGAGAAGCTTAAAGGAAAATTTTATTGAACTGCTATAAGACCAGCTATGTTGTACAGTAGTGAATGTCGGGCAATAAAGGGAAAACAAAAGTACAAAATCGAGGTAGCAGAAATGAGGATGTTGGGATGGATGTATAGTCATACAAGAAAAGATAGGATTTGAAATGAAAATATTAGGACAAGAGTCGGTGTGGCACCTATCCAAGAGAAAATGATTAAAAATCGCTTAAGATAATTTGGACATATATAGAGAAAGCCGTTAGAGGTCCTAATGAGGAGGGCAGAGGAAGACCGAGAAGAACGCTTAATGAGGTCATTAAATAAGACCTCCTAGTCAAAAACATATCTAAAGACTGGGTTATTGACAGAATACAATGGCGTCGTGTGATTCATATAGCCAACCCTACCTAGTGAGATAAGGCTTGTTGTTGTTGTTGTTGATATTGGTCTATGTTATACTTATCGTTCTCCCTCTTCTTGATGTCTTAGAATCCATTGGTAACATGGTTCAATGGTGCTTTGTAAATTGCATGACATTGCAATTAAGAGAAATTTAGTGCTTTTGATTTAGGTTTGTTATCTTTGTTGTTATAATTTTTTATGTGAATACGGAGAAAGCCAGCTTTTTACTATGGGATATGGGTTTGGACTACGGAGTGTTCCACCAGGCAAGGTAACTTCCAATAGGTAGGATGATCCAATTCGTTTGTGGCAAGGTAAGGTAAGCTGCTCAGAGAAGTAGGTTAAATTAACAGAATTGTGATATGGTTCCGTCACTTTGCTTCAATCTCTAGAATCTCTAAGTGTCAAATATGGAGGATTATTTGACCTAAGACACCAAAGTGCAGTTTAATATGATACTACTTCCGGTCCTAATTATAAGAGTTAGTTGACTAATTTGAGGAAATTAAGAAAGTAAGTTGAGTTAGTTATTTGTCCTAAATAAATAGGTGTTGTCTTTCCTGAAATATCCTTGCTAATCAAGTGTATTGGTTAGAACTACTATTGTTAGAAGGATTATTTTGAAAAAAATATATATAAATATGAGAGACAAAATGAATTAGGGACTTATATTTAGAATCAAAATAAAAGTCAAACAAAGTCTTATATTAAAGACCGAAGGTAGTAATAATTTAAAGAAGATCGTGTCTGGAAAATTTTAGGTGATCAACTTAAAATTTAAAAGGCTTCTACTTGAGCATTATGTTACAGTGAAAGGAAAAAAAAACCCGGATGTTACAATGCAGATTCAAAAGCTCTATTGATTTAGGTATTATGAGCATTATGTTTCAACTTGTGTATAATATTTTTATCTAGAAGAAAGTACATTTTCTTAAACAAGTGTTTGAAATTTTAAAAATGAGACCTAAATATACATTTTAATAAATGGTTGGATTTATTTCAAAAACTTGAAGCAATTTTAAAGAAACATTTCATAAAAAAATTATAAATATTGATTTGTATTTGATTTTACTTTATAAACTATCTAAAATTTAAAATTATTGAATATAAAAATATAATTGGTAAAGTGATTCTTTGGATTTGATACCCGAAGGTAGGCGGATTCTTTGGCATATCTACGTTTTGCTTTCTTCTTCTAGTGTGGAGTAGTCATTCGTTGTTTCTTCTCCTATCAAAGAAAAAATTGTAGGTTGTTATCATGCAGGTACTAATCTATACGAAGATGGGAATGAAGGGGTTGGTTTATGCCAGCATCTCCCATCTAATTTGATGGGTTTAACATCCCAGCCCATGACACTACTGACCATTACAGCTTTTTGAAAAGGCATAAAAGAACAGAGTTGTGCCCTGACTAATAGCTATAACTTTTTCCCAGCCAAAAGAAGTTATAACTTTTGGTTTGGTAGTTGCTTGATCCAAAATGATATCAGAGCAGGCCAACATCTTCCAACTCATTTGATGGGTTTAACATCCCAACACATGACACTAGTTATTGATGTAGCTGAGCTCTTTGAATTTATAAACTCTACAACACTTGTGAGATTTTTTAATATAGGACTCATACCAATGCACACTCTTCGAGAGCTGATGTTCTCAGTAGCTTCACTTTATGGCATTTCACTTGGTCTCCTAGCTGTCATAACCCTCCCCAAATAGCCTTCTTTGATTGGCTAACTCTCAATGAAAACTCTAATGTGATGAGCATAAATGTAAGAAGAGAGTCAGATCCCAAAAAACTAGCCTATTAATACGGAGAGAGTCCCTTGAATTTATAAATCCTATGACACCTGTGAGATTCTTCAATGTGAGACTCCTAAAGGGGACTCATAACAATGCACCCTCTTTAAGGGCTGACGTTTTGGGCAGCTCCACTCTACGGCATTTTGCTTGGTCTACTATCCGTCAGAACCCTCTCTTTGATTGGCCAACTCTTAATGATAACTCTAATGTGATGAGTATAAACCTGAGGGGAGGATCCAATTCTTAAGGGGATTGTTGGTTCAACTTTAGTATGGACTTGGTACGTGAAGATGTTAGAAACCTCTATTTTCACATTCTCAATATGTTCTCTCTCCCCCATTTCAGTGCTTGATACTCAAGTTCAACATGTCCTATCGAAGTCAAGTATCTAAAGCCAATAATTGCACATCGGTTGAAGGCCAAAATAGGGATAATCCTTCGTTTGCAGGGACTTTTGTGTCTCATACCATTCAAAGCTCACATCATTCAAATGGAGTTGGCTTTGGTTTAGCTTTAGTAAGGACTACGTGTTTGTGATATCTGCGGTATGGGAAGCATTTTTGTGTGGGCTGCAATAAACCAATACCTTAAGAGGAGGTGGTTAGGATGTCAAATGGGCCGCATTGATATAACGTGAAAGAATCTACACGAGGGCTTATGTCGATTCTACGTCCTCTTGTACATCTAATGGTTTAATTGGAATCTTTCAATTTGTCAGGTGCTACTAGTCTAACAAATTGTGTGCGAAAATAATCCACATACTATTTGAAGGTCTCACTAATTTAGCAAATTGTGTGTGAAGATACTCTGCATTTTCCTTGAATATTTCTCGTTTGATTTAAAATTATGTTCCTTCTCTTACTTAGTTTAGATTTAGAATTAGAATTTGAATTGTGTTGATGGCACCAAAAAAAAAAAAAGATTAAGAATTTTGTTCCCTTTCGTTCTCCAAAAGTATTATGAATTGATAAATTGACTTATGGGTCATTTCTCATTTAAAAGGACCTGTCTTTGTCTTCATCACTACCTTTTGATTCTAATGTCTCGGGTTCATCTAATCAATATTTTCATTGCTTTAAGCATCATCTTTTTCCTCATTGTTATTGTTTGATAAAGGTATAATGGACAAAATCTTTTCGTCTAATCAATACATAGAAAAAAGCTTGTTCTCTTTGTGAAACTAATATAAAAGAATCATTTACTAGTAAGCTTGAGTCTAACAGAAATGAGTAATCCTTCACAACTAAGATTCAAATTTTCATTATAGAAAGTGCCCACATTTAGTATTTAATCGCGTCTCGAATAAGATTGCTTCTAATAGAAAGACACCTATACTTAGAGGAAAAAAAATCATTTATACCTAACTTGAACAAACTCATCAATGCCTAATCCTTTTTTTTTTTTTGGCCAACTAATTCATATTTGTTATTACCCGCTTACATCCGAAGACATGCACCTTGAACATAGAGTAATCAAACTCTTGCCTTTATCCAACAAGCATTATACCAATATTTTGCATTGCGCTATGATTTTTGTGGTCTTGAGTATAGAATGTATAAACCTTTGATGCACAACGAGTATCAAATAATACCTACCCAAAAAAAAAAAAGACCTACCAAATGTTTTATAACAATCTTGTTAGCGGGCTAGCGCTTCATAAAAAAAGTGCTTGGTACCTTGATGTTTAAAATTGATAAAAAAAAATTTAAAAAAAAAAGTTCTGTAGTGTAGTGATTGTTCAGTTGAATTGAGAAAACTAATTTCTCCAACAATTTTCAAAAATAAAATTAAATCTCCTTGGAGGAGTACTGCGTAAACTTTAGAACAAAGTAAAGTCTCACATGATGCGTGTCCCTGAGTATAAATAGCCAGCAGGGGAGATCCTTAACTATTATACGTACTCATCATGTTAGGCGACTCTGACTTTCTAATTTTGCTAAAATATTATATGCATATATTAATTATAATATCTACAAATTTTAAGTTATAAATTATAATTACATATGAAAAGTTAGATTAGTTATCGTTAAGATTAATAAAACGTGAGTCCCATGGACATGTATTATTATCATTATCATTATTATTATTTAGTTCTTCCCAACTCCTAAACCGATTTCAGTTTAATAACGTAATGTGTAGGATCGCCATAACAGTTTGAATCGAATGTCATGATTTG